TGAGCCTGGGGGTGCTGCCTCTGGGAGTGCTGAGTCTGGGGGTGCTGAGCCTGGGGGTGCGGAGCCTGGGGATCTTTGCATGGCCTGGGGGTGCTGCGTCTGGGGGTGCTGCACCTGGGGGCACTGGGGCGTCTGGTGGGCAGTCTCCCTCGAGCGACCGTCTCCGTAGTCGCTCCGCTGGTGCCTCGCCGCTGCACTCTCGTAGCCGTCTCCCTCTCTCCCCACAGCAGCTACATGAGTGGTACGTGAGCCGTCAGGGTCACGCTGCTGGAGCTGGGGGCCCTGCTGCGGGGTGCTCTGGTGTTGGCGGCACTGGAGCCGGCGCTGTCCCTGGGGGTGCGGAGCCTGGGGGTGCTGCGCTTGAGCGTCAGGAGCCTGGGAGTGCTGCGTCTGGAGGTGTTGAGCCTGAGCGTGCGGAGCCTGGAGGTACTGCGTCTGGGAGTGCTGAGCCTTTGCATGAGGAGGCTGGAGGTACTACGTCTGGGGGTGTTGCGCCTGTGCGTGAGGAGTCTAGGGGTCCTGAGTCTGGGGGTGCGGCGTCTGGGGGTGCTGCGTCTGAGGGTACTGCGACTACTGGTGCACGGTCTCCTTGGAGTGGCCGCCTTTGTCCGCGTGTGCCTCTCACCTTGCAGCAGCTGCACGACTGGTACGGTCGCCGTCAGGGTCGCGCTGCTGGAGCTCGGGGCTCTGCAGCTGGAGGTGCTTCTGCTGACGTCACTCGAGCTAGGAGTGGTGCTGGTTCTTTGTCTACTGGCAGTCATGGGGCTGCAGGGACCGGAGGTGCTACGTCTGGGGGTGCTGCAGCTGGAGACACTGCGGTTAGAGACCCTGGGGCTGGAGGTCCCGGTTTTGGGGGAGCTGCTGCTGGTGGAGCTGGTCCTGGAGGAGCTGGCGCTGGAGGTTCTGGAGCTACTGGGGGCGCTGGCGCTACTGGTGCCGCGGCGCAGCCGAGACTGTTCTTCGCTCCGCCGTCTTCGTCGTCCCCTCCGCCGCTTGACTCTGTGCTTCGCCAGGTTCTTAGCCTACCGTCGTCTACTGGTCTTCCGTTACAGCCTGACTCCCCGCTGCCTGCTCCTTCTCCTTACACTGCGCCGGCTGGGGGTCTTGCTGCGCGTCGTGAGCCTGCGTCGCGTCCTGTCTCGCCTGTTCGTTCTGGTCGTACCAGTCGTCTTGTTACCCGTCCGCGTCAGCCGGCTGTCCCCGGCGCACACCTCGTAGTCCGTCGTCCTTCCTCCACTGAGCGGTCTGCTCCTCTGCCGTCTCCCCTTGTGTCCTCTCTGCCTGACGTTGCTGACCCTGAGTCTCACAGGTTCCGTGCTGAGCACCTTACTGTCACGCGTCTATTAGCCACTGTTGTTACTGACCCGTCGTTTGAGTCTGCTGCTGCGTCTGCCTTGGTCGCTGAGCTTGTTGACTTTGCTGCTGCCTATCGTCTAGACTACGCTGCTAGTCTTGTTGCTGAGTCTGCGTCTGTCTGTCCTCCGTCCGTCGGGGGTGAGTGTGCTCTTGGCACGGACGTCCTTGAGGACAGACAGGAGGACCTTGAGTGTCTTGCAGCCACTGCGCCTCATCTCGTGGCCATGCTGCTTGCCCCTGAGGGAGACCCGGATGCTCTTGACATCCCTACCCCGCGCTCTTACGCTGAGGCGATCGCGGGTCCCTACTCCTCTCAGTGGCAGACAGCCATGGACGCAGAGGTGGCATCCTGGAAGTCCACAGGCACTTACGTTGACGAGGTTCCCCCTCCTGGGGCGAACATCGTCGATGGCATGTGGATTTTCAGGGTGAATCGGCCGCCGGGTTCTCCGCCTGTCTTCAAGGCTCGTTACGTTGCTCGAGGCTTCAGTCAGCGCCAGGGAGTTGACTTCTTCCAGACCTTCTCCCCCACCCCGAAGATGACCACTCTTCGGGTGCTGCTGCACGTTGTCGCTCAGCGTGACTACGAGCTTCACTCTCTTGACTTCAGCACAGCTTTCTTGCAGGGCAATCTGCACGAGGAGATCTGGCTGCGCCGTCCTCCTGGCTTCACTGGGTCTTTTCCTCCTGGTACCCAGTGGAGCCTCCGACGGCCAGTTTACGGTCTCCGCCAGGCGCCACGTGAGTGGCACGACACACTGAGGACGACACTTGCGGCTCTTGGGTTTGCTTCCTCCACTGCAGACCCTTCACTGTTCCTGCGCACAGACACTTCGCTGCCGCCGTTCTACATCCTCGTGTACGTCGACGACTTGGTCTTTGCTACTGCTGATACTGAGGCACTTGCTCTTGTGAAGTCGGAGCTGCAGAGGAGACACATGTGCACAGACCTGGGTGAGCTGCGCAGTTACCTTGGCTTGCAGATCACTCGGGACAGAGCACGCCGCACCATCACCCTGACTCAGTCATACATGGTGCAGCAGGTCCTTCAGCGCTTCGGCTTCCAGTTCTCCTCACCTCAGTCCACTCCTCTGTCTACCAGCCACTCGCTCTCAGCTCCACCTTCGGACGAGTCCGTAGAGCCGAGTGGGCCCGTACTTAGAGCTTGTGGGCTGCCTCATGTACCCGATGACCTGCACTCGACCTGACCTTGCGTACCCTCTTAGCATCCTAGCTCGCTACGTCGCACCTGGGAGACACAGGCGAGAGCACTGGAAGGCTGCTAAGAGGGTGCTGCCCTGCTTGTGCAGTACATCAGGCATGGGGCTGGTGCTTGGAGGACAGGGCTCAGTTGTCCTCACTGGACACTCAGACGCCTCTTGGGTTGACGACCTGGCTACGCAACGGTCGTCACAGGGTTACACTTTCAGCCTTGGCTCTGGTTCTGTCTCTTGGCGTTCCACTCGCTCTTCTTCGGTTCTCAGCTCCAGTTGTGAGGCTGAGATCTACGCCACGGCCATGGCTGCACAGGAGCTACGCTGGCTCACCTACCTGCTGACTGACCTGGGTGAGCGGCCTCGTTCTCCTCCAGTTCTGTACGGCGACAACAAGGCAGCTCTTGCCTTGTGTCAGGAGCACAGACTGGAGCACAGAACGAAGCACATTGCTCTCCGTTACTTTCTGGCTCGAGAGCTGCAGCAGCGTGGCCAGCTTCGCCTTGCGTACGTGGACTCGAAGGCCAACACTGCTGATATATTCACCAAGGCGCTTCCGCCTAGTGATCATCAGCGGCACTGCACTGCGTTAGGCCTTGTGTCCACGTTCTCTCACTTGCTTACTTCTTGACTTTGCTTGTACTGTGATCCCTATATATATACCAGTCCTTGCATGCTTGCACTTGCTAGGCTTTGATCACTGTACTACTTGTGTTCTTCTATATAAATCTGCATGTGAACTGGCCTTGTGGCCTTTGCTTGTGCTCAGAGAGTGTGGTGACATTGTGATCCACCCTGAGCTTGTTCTTTGCTTTGCTTGACTGGTCTTGTGACCCCTTGCTCTCCCCCACTTTGCCTATGGGGGTGTGTCAAAGTATAAATGTGTTATATGTGTCAGAATGTGATGGTTGTCTAGCCTGCAGTGGGGTACTCTATAGCGAGTACAGCCCTTCTAGGGTTTGCATATATGTATCCCTATGCTTGTTAGTCAAAACCCTTCTTGCCTGTTTCTCGTTTTGGCCTAGCATTTTGACATGCTATCAGAGCGGGTCGACCCTCCTGGGTCGATCCTGTGGGTGGTCCCACCAGAAGCTTCCGCTGTTGTTTCCTGCTGTTTCCTGCCTGCCGCGCGCTCCGGGCGCGCAGCGATTTTTTCTTCCCGCCGCGCGCCCGGGGCGCGCGGCGGTTTTCTGCCCCGTCACTCGGCGCGTCGCCCCCGGGAGGCGCTGCGACGGGCGACGGGGACCCGCGCGTCGCCCCCCGTCGCCCGTCGTGGCCTGCGCGCGGCCCGTACAGCCGGCGCGCGGCCCGTACGGGCTGCGCCAGGCCCGCGCGCGGCCCGTACGGGAAGCGCCAGGCCCGCGCGCGGCTCGGGCCGCCTGCGCGCGGTTCGGGCGGCTATGCCAGGCCCGTGGGCGGCCCGTTCCTCGCTGCCCCTGCCCTCCCCACTGTCCCCCGTGCTTCTACTGGCGCCCCACCCCTCCTACAGCCCGTTCTCCTGAATTAGGGTTTGGGGGTGAGGGGTATGGGGGTGAAGCCACTGAGTGCCGTTCCCCTCCTCCTCCTCCTTCTCCGTCTCCCACTGCTGCAGCTGCCGCTGAGGGGGGTGGGTGTGTGGGAGCCGAGGGAGTGGCGCTAGGGGGTGTAGTGTGAGCGGTGCTAGGGGAACAGCAGGGGGTGTGTAAAAAGGGGGTGGGACAGCTGGGGGAAGTTGAGAGGAGGCCGTCGACTTGTCGTCCGCAGCGCCTGAAGTCCAGGGAGCCACGACCCCCTGTGGCCTGAGTAGTCCGGGGCTCTGCGCCCGGTAGCTACAGTGTGTGCACTCCTGGGAGCACAGCGAGCCAGCTGCGACCCCCTGTCGCCGTGTAGTCCGGGTTTAGCCTGGTAGCGTCAGTGCGGCGTACTCCTGCTGCCTGTGTGTCTGCAGCTTCAGCCGTCGCCTCCCATCTTCTCGCCTCCACAGTTTCTCCTCCTCCTCACTTGCCCTCTGTGATAGCCTCTAGCTTTGCTTATAATTGTGAACTATTGCTCTGCCTGCTTGTTGTGTTGATTGTACCCCACTTTGACTATGGGGGTGTGTCAGAATGTGATGGTTGTCTAGCCTGCAGTGGGGTACTCTATAGCGAGTACAGCCCTTCTAGGGTTTGCATATATGTATCCCTATGCTTGTTAGTCAAAACCCTTCTTGCCTGTTTCTCGTTTTGGCCTAGCATTTTGACAATATGTTTGTAGGCTGTAGTGGGGTAGCCAATATGGGGTACAACCCCAACTAGGGTTTCCTATTTGTACCCTTGCTTCTTTCAATCCATCATTCCTGCCTAGTATTCTAACAGCCGCCTCCTGCGACGACGCCTCCGGTGCCGCCGCCTCCCGCGCCGCATTCTCCCGTGCCTCATTTTCCTGTGCCGCCTTCCCCCGAGCCGCCTTCTCCTATGCCGCCTTCTCCTGTGCCGCCTTCTCCTGCGCCGCCTTCTCCTGTGCCGCCGCCTCCTGTGCCGCCGCCTCCTGAGCCACCTTTTCCTGTGCCGCCTCCTTCTGAGCCGCCTTCTCCTGTGCCGCCTTCTCCTGTGCCGCCTTCTCCTGTGCCGCCTTCTCCTGTGCCGCCTTCTCCTGCGCCGCCTTCTCCTGTGCCGCCGCCTCCTGTGCCACCTTCTCCTGTGCCGTCTTCTCCTGCGCCGCCTTCTCCTGTGCCGCCGGCTCCTGAGCCGCCTTCTCTTGTGCCGCCTCCTCCTGAGCCGCCTTCTCCTGTGCCGCCTTCTCCTGTGCCGCCTTCTCCTGTGCCGCCTTCTCCTGTGCCGCCTTCTCCTGCGCCTCCTGTGCCGCCTTCGCCTTCTGCTGTGGAGACCTCAACTTGGCGCTGTTCTCAAGTCATCCAGGAAAATTCACCACAATCAACAACTTCACATAAGTAGCGGCAATGCATGATAACATTCAATTCAAGGCGAATGAGAGAGTATAGAACTCCCAGACTGCAGCTACCTTGTACCTGCCACAAGAAAGATAGTAATGGTCAAATCTATAGAGTAAAAGCATGAGGTTGTTAGTGATGGTGTTGAATGGAGGGTAACCTTGTATGGTGATGGTGGAAGTCTGAGATTGTTAGTGATAGTGAGAGAGAGATGATAGTGGCGGCGGCGGCGCTGGTGGTGGTGGTGGAGTTGCTGCTGCTGGTGGTGTTCGTGCTGGTGGTGGTGGCGCTGGTGGTGGTGGCGCTGGCGGCGGCGGCGGCGGCGGCGGCGGCAGCGGCGGCGGCGGCGGCGGTGGCAAGCAAGTGGCAACAAGGGGGCAAAACCACAACCAGCTGATTGCTGATGCTTCTCTGCAGTCAGTGAACATGCAGGGCAAAAGAAAGAAAAGATAAGCAAGCAGCCTGCAACCTTCCGCACAAAAGATAGCACGCGTTGCTCAAACCGGCCAGGTTCATTCACGCCATGCCTGTATCACCGATGCTGCTCTGAAATCCTTCAAGCAGCTCCCCGCCTTTCGTCATGCTGCCCTGAATTTTCCCATTCTGCCCTGAACTTCCTCATACAGCCCAGACTTTCCTCAAACTGCCCAGACTTACGTGTACTGCTCGCCAAAAACAAGAGGATGGAGGCGCTTTGCCCGGGTGAAGTCACAGCTTCTGAAGGCTTTTCTCATCATCCATACCCCACATTGAAACGATTTCTCACCATCCATGATCCACAGGCCATGCCATGCCTGGTCCGTCTACTTGAAGACTGAAGGTTCGGGATGAACAGAGTGCATGAGGAATGTGCAAGTGCAGTAGTGAGCATACAACAAGCCACATGAGGCACCTTCTCATCGTCCATGACCCACAGATCATGCCATGCCAGGTCCGACCGGATTGTTGGCGACGTCGCACATACTTTCACGAACTCTGCTACGAAACCGTGCGACGCCGGTAACCCTTCGTCGATTCGAACCGTTGACGGTTCGTACCGTCGGGGGCAAAATGGAGCCACGCCCTAAGCACGAGCAGTGGCCAGCACCTCTTTTCCGCTCATTAAAAGGCTTGCATAAAATATGTATACATATATATACATCTTAACAAATGAAAACAGGGAAAACAACGCTCCATATTCACGTCTCCAAATGTCAACATGCGATCAATCAGGTAACTCATCCCCTCGAGCAGAGGGGCCATCGCCTTTATCATAGGAGGAGGGCCAGACAGCAGCACGAGCATAACCGAAAGTTTATACCGGCATTCACGAAGATATCGCTAAAGCGCATGAGCTCATATAGAGCACGCGCACTTCCCAGTATCGGGATATGCCCATATAGGAGCATGCAATAATGTGGAGGTTTGTCAACAGTCGAGAGGTGACCTTCGACAGTTTGACCAACCACCCAGGAGGTTACAAATTGGAGGTTACGAGCAACAACGAACTAACCGCAGGCATCAGAATAGTCAGAGTTGTTGTAGCGATGCCTGGTGAAATAGTTAAATAAGGGAATGAACCCCTCAAAGTATATGGCTAGTTAGGATTATATCATTTAATATATTGCATCTTATCATCTTGTCAATTATATTCCTCATGAGCAATTATACTTCTTTGCACACTTATCCTGTCCAAATTGATCCTCAAGTCATTCTAGCATGGTATGGGAGCCATTTTGGATAGTAAGTGCTACTAGAACAAGTTCTTCCATTGAACATCTTATCAAGGCGAACAATACTACATCTACATAAAGCCAGGTGGTCACTGCGGATGTTGATGGGAAATGGCCCCGCCCTAACTTGGACAAAGTCGACTGCACAGTCGAGTACACGGAATGTGCTGCGGGCTGCTGTCAGTGGTCAACGCCGACTTGGGCGAGGCAGTCGACAGACTTGGTTGACCTCCTCGAACTACTGTGAAGCCGCTGACGGAGGGAAGTCGGCGGCCGGCTTCGACTTGTGCGGTCGACGATAGTGCTCGTTGGCATGAGGACGCTGGTGGACATTACCTAGTCGACTGAGTCACCGGGGTGACGGACTTCTGTGGGGGGGCGCGGACGTCGCCCAAATGGTTTTGGCGAAGTCGACCAGCGGGCTGGTATCCCGAGGCCAATGCGGTGCATCGGGCATAGGTGACGGCACGTGGCCGACTTGGCACCCACGTGGTGCGCGGGACGAGGCACAACATGCTCGACCGTCGACCTACGTATGTGTGCCTGTGCATTTAGTCACCCGCGGCTGCAACGCTAGTAAGTCGCCCTGGTGCAGCATTGGCAAGCCGCCTTGGTACAGCGCTGGCAGGTCGCCGACTTGCAACGTTGGCAAGCCGCCTCCAAGCTGTGTTGGCACGATATCGACTTGCTTTCATAGCTAGTAGCGTAAGGTTTAGGTAGGTGCCTAGGCTTAGAGCCGAGGCCAATGGTATCGGGAATGTTGTGGCGATTGACGAAATGTTGTAGTTCACTATAGAACTCAAGGTACATATACCTTGAGGTGCACCACTTACAGAAGAACTACACTATAATTTCACTACAGACAGATACATAAAATAGATATGTATATCTATTTCGATTCTCCCCTTATCTGCCTGAAGTGAATAACCATGTGCAGAGCTTCCCATTGTCAAACATTATATGTTTATATGGTTGTAGGCTGTAGTGGGTTACGCCTTAGGGGGTACACTGGATTAGGGTTTCCTATTTGTATCCAGCCTTCTGTTAGTACAGTCATTCCAGTCCGTTCATTCTGACATGGTTTCAGAGCAGGTCCTTCGCTAGGACCTAACTTCTCTTCGGGCCCACCACTACCTACTACCTACTACCTACTAGCGCCCTCGTGCGCCCTACTATCGGAGTGCGCTTTAGCGCCTCCCCCCTTAGCGCCCTCGAGCACTTTTTTTTTTTTTTTTTCCCGGCCCCGTCGATCGCGCCCCGCTTAGAGGCCCCGCGGCCCCGTCGCGCCTTGCCTAGTGGCCCCGCGGCCCCGTCGAACTCACGCGCGCCCCGCTTACGGCCCCGTCGACCCCGCGCGCACCCCGTATAGAGGCCCCGCGGCCCCGTCGTCCGCCACCACACGGCAAGTCGAACCCGCGCGCGCCCCGCTTACGGCCCCGTCGACCCCGCGCGCACCCCGTGTAGAGCCCCCGCGGCCCCGTCGCCCGCCACCACACGGCCCCTCGACCCCGCTGCGCCCCGCTTAGCGGCCCCACGGCCCCGTCGAGCCCCGCTTAGAGGCCCCCGCGGCCCCGTCGCCCGCACCACACGGCCCCTCGACCCCGCTGCGCCCCGCTTAGCGGCCCCACGGCCCCGTCGAGCCCCGCTTAGAGGCCCCCGCGACCCCGTCCGCGCAGCCGCGCAGCCGCGCCGCCCTACCTGAACCGAGCCGCGCCGCCCGACCGAGCCGCGTCGACCGTTCTAGCAGCCCTGTTGATCCTACTGCTACTCCTACTGCTCCTACTGCTACTGTCACTATGGCTAGTCCGCCAGTTCTAGCTTTCGATGCCGAGGGCCGTCCAGTGAAGTTCGAAACCTGGCTCGATGACCTGCACCTGTTCCTACAGCTCACTGCCAAGGAAGATATCTCACTGTACGACCACGCCCTAGGCCATGCCACTGCCCCTGACTCGACTGCTGACAGCACTCTGCGTTCCCAGTGGCAGACCCGTGATGCGCATGCTCGCTTTGCTATTCGCAACTCCCTGCCGCTAGACGAGCGCGAGCACTTCGGCCAGTGCAAGACTGCTAAGGACCTCTACACCGCTGTAGTTGCCCGCTACTCCTCACCCGCTTCTGCCACGCTAGGCCGCCTCACTCTCCCCTACCTGTTCCCCGACCTAGCCTCCTTTCACACTGTTGCAGACCTCATCACCCACCTTAAGACTAGTGAGGCCCGCTTTCGCGCTGCTATGCCTGCCGAGTTTCTCACTAGCAACCCCCCCCCACTCTGGATCACTCTCTACCACATCGTCACCCGCCTCCCTGACTCTCTGCGCGCAGTCAGGGACCACTTCCTCTCTCGCTCCCCCACTGAGCTCACTGTTGCCCTCCTCGAGAAGGAACTGCTTGCAGCTGAGGCGAGCATCGTCGCTGTAGGCACCTCTCGTGGCGACCCCCGCACCCCGTTCTTTGAGGGGTGTTCCCCTTCCCCCCTCCTCCCCTCTGTCGCCTCTGCTGCTGCTGTCGACCTTCTTGGTGCTGAGAAGGTCGGGACCGCGTCTGCTTCGAGCGGGCGCCGCAGGAACAAGGGGGGCAGGGGTGGGGGTGGTGGCGGAGGAGGTGGGGGTGGAGGCGGTGGGAGTGGAGGCGCGGCTGGGGAGACTAGTGGCGGCAGTGGGGGAGGAGACAGCAGCGGTGGGAGTGGTGGTGGAGGCGGCAGCGGAGGCGGAGGTGGTCGTGGCGGCGGCAGGGGTGGAGGTGGCCGGGGCGGCGGCGGTGGGGGTGGTGGTCGTGGAGGCACTGGCGGAGGGCAGAGTCAGCAGCCCGCCCCGACGCTTCAGGCCGCCCGTGAGTGGTATGCGCAGCGTAGCGTTATCTGCACGTACGTCATTCGCACAGGTGATCGCAGCGGCCAGCAGTGTGGGAGGCCGCACCCCACGCACCGCTGCTTCGCGCGCCTTAACGACGCGTGGCGCACTCAGTTTCCTGCTGCCACTGAGCTGCCGCGCTGGGCTGATCTGGAAAAGAGGGGTGTTGATATTTGGGCTTTAGACTTTGATGCTATTCTCACTGCCATGTATGCGATGTCTATTAGTGGAGAGGGTGCTCAGTACTTGCGTGTTCCGCCCGACCCGGGCATTCAGGCCAGTCCGGCTGCCGCTCTAGGTGCTAGTGCGTCTCCTCCCACAGGTCCTGGTGAGGCTGCTGCCCTAGGTGCTCGTGCGTCCGTCCCCCCTGGTACTGAGTCGACTGCAGCACTGCACACCTTCACACTGGACTCAGGTGCTTCTCGCTCCTTCTTTCGTGACCGCACTGTCCTTGAGCCACTAGCTCGGCCAGTTGCTGTCTCCCTTGCTGACCCCTCTGGGGGTCCGGTCATTGCGACCTCCTCCACTGTCCTTCCTTGTCCGGCGGTCCCGTCCGGCACGCTGTCAGGTCTCTACCTCCCCTCGTTCTCTACAAACTTGGTGGCAGGTAGTGCGCTCCAGGACGGGGGTGTTCACCAGTTCACCCCTGCCTACGAGCGCGTGACACACTGCACGTGTGCTCGGACGGGTCGCCACCTGGCTACCTTCACTCGGGAGCCGGGGTCGGACCTTTACACACTGACCACTGAGTCCCCTCAGGTAGCTGCGTCCGCGTCTGCGTCTGCGTCAGGTCAGCTGTCCGCCCCCTGCTCGTGTCGCTCTCTGACGCATGAGACTGTCCTTTGGCACCACCGCCTTGGTCACCCG